TCATGCTGAAATGTAAACATGCCCTAATTAATTATTCATGGCTAATCCAAAAACGTAGAGAACGTTCTAGAAAGTAACGCAACGCATGAAAGCAATTTTACTACGTAACACTTAACAAAGACAAAATGTCTTTGTGCAGCATTTTGAATCTTTAAATTCGTCATAAAACAGTTCGAAAGGAGGGCTCACTCGTGAAATGTTTTTCAACACTCGAAGAGAAATTTCGTGTCTCTGCGCGGCCACGAATTATCCTCTATTTATTCCTCGAGTAATTAAAGACTAAACTCGAAGTGATCTCAAGATATCGCGAAGTAGTCCGGTCTCATTTCGCGAAATAGCCGAAACAAGCCGAAAAGTCACGAACTTGCACGCCCAATCTTGTCCCGAAACTAGTGCATCATTTCATAACTATTTTTCATTTCCCAAACTACCTTGGGTCGCAGTAGCGCAATCGCCTAATCCCTCAACTTAGAGTCTCCTCTGATCTTACGGGTCATACAGGTGAGTCGGTTCAAACCCCGGGGAAGCCAAAATAATAATTCTTTCTCCTTCGAAAAAGTTAAAGAATAAATCAAAGTGATCTCGAGATAACTCGAACTAATTCGGCTCTCACTTCGTTAAATACCCGAATAGAACCGAAAACCTACAGACTTTGTAGCCCAATCTTGTCAAAAAAATGCAACTTTGATACATTCCTGAGCGTCGCAAATCCTTTACTTCGCGCTCCGCCGAAGTAATAGCTCCTATTTTCCTAAAGTCGCTCTCTGTGATGATGGATGGGATGTCCCGGTGAAGCTTTAAACTTGTGTGTGAAATTCTCAGAGTCCCTATTTTTGTCCGTGTCTTCTTTATCGTCAGTATCCAAAATTTAGACCTCCAAAGTGGCGTGTGTTGCATTAAATAGAAGGAAATATTTAAAGGAAAAGCCAGTCTTCTAACATGGTAAAGTTGTCACGTCCCTCGCTCATGGACGTGCGTAACATCTGCCATTCATCGGCAACTGAGTTGTTCGCTTCACTGACAACGACGGCTTACAATCAAGTCTTCAGCCATAGTGTCGTCAACTGGTGAAATACTTTGCTCATAAATTGTGCTTCTTAATTGCTCATGTACTACATCGATCGATAATTCTCTCTTTGAGTTCACGAAGCGGCCACGGCTTTTCAAGCCTGACGCTCACAGTCATCTTTTAGTGTGAACCTACCGTGAACAGCGTGTCGGTTTGAATGCAACGCGAGCATTTCTCTGAGTTTCCCAGCGCCAACATCATCTAACTGACTTAAACTCGAACAAAAAAAAAATTATAGAGTGACTCCCATGATCGAATCGCTTCGAACGACGCAAATAGCCTTCTTCAGGTTCGCAACGCCTTGTGGGTTTTTCAGGGGGAGCGGAGACGTGGTACAAAAAGTATCCGTGCAAGGGTTCGTGCAAGAGAAAATCCTATGAAACCATTTGTGAGAACATCGTTTCCCGGTACCAGACCCTCGTGTCTTCTCTCCCCCGGATGACGGTTTTTCGCCACAGACGACCGAAAACCGAATTTATGACTAGGCTTGCCGGGCAGGCCAGTAATAATTGAAACTGCTTAAACTGCCAAAGAGTCGTTTCAGTTTTGTCTGTACTCTAGGCGCCGAAATAACACGCGTCAGTTCAATCGGCCATCGGGCGGGAGAAATAATTGTATTTTAGTGTATTTTTACTGGTCCCTAATCCGCTACCTAGCCTGTTGCAGGCTCTCAGATAGTGGGGAAGAGGCGAATTTCTTCAGACCTTTTGTTTGGAGACCGTGCGCGTTTGCATGAAAAATATTCGACTGTTTTGCGGTCTAGTGATCGCGATATCCTGATTCAGAACATCCATTTAGAGTTAGGTTATTCTAGACATAGCTGATCGGACACTAAGTAATAAAACGGGAAATATTGATTTTTATTAGGGGACGGGGTAAGAGGAGTCAGCTCAGATGTCAAGCTCGTATTTAAGTTCCGAGCGAAGAAGGGATTGTGCCAGTGAAATGAAGAAAGGCTGGGTGGGCAACGTAGATCTCCGCCCTCCCCTCCCCCATGCTCCCCTTTACCTTCCTCCATGCTATTTCAAAAAACGTCTTTCTTACAACCAAGAGCCATAATAGTATGGACTCATGTCACAACGTAAACAGATAATTGGAAAAATGGAATATATTTGTTGAATGTTGAAAATTGCCATTTAAGTGTTTTTTTCGTAAAACACCTCGATGCCATGGCCAGTTGGGGTGAAGGTGTAGTTTCAGCATAGAATGTACAGTTAGAACCAGATAAAGAATACCCTGGGGGAGGGGACAGCTTCTGTTACAATCAGTCAAAGAATGCCGATTACTTGCAGCGTCTTGTCCCATATGCGAATGTCATATCCAAAACCAAATGTTGGTCCGTGGAAATGACATCTGTATACAGCTTTAAACTGTCCATCTGACTTGACATTTAGCTTCACTGAGTTGTACACCGCGTATCCAGAACCACTGTTGTTGCTCAGTGAGTAAATAAAGGCTTTGCTGGAATCTCCATACCGACAAGAGCCTAGCAAATAAAAAGGGACCTTTTTTAAAAATCGCTATACCCTAATTTTGGAGCCCTTTATGAAAACTCGCGAAATAGGTGTCAATCACAGGCGAAATACTCTGTTTTGAAAGATATTATGGTATTCGAGCTGAAAATTCTCGCAGGAGTCTGTTTGATCACCTTTAGGCAAAAAATTTAAACGTAACTGTAGTACTCCCCGGAGTAGTAAAACATTCAAACAACCAGATTTAACTCAACGTATTTTAGTGCGACTACAGTCACAACAACATGACTGCAGCTATCAAAAGCACGTGGTTAAAACCCTCCCAACATTCTTAGCGGCCTAGTACATTATAGTAACCTCCTACTTTGAGTGATTCTGTGATATTTTCGGATTTCCCGTCCGATATATGTCAGGGTTGTTAAAGTCAAATAAAGGACTCACCGATTGCATACCAGGACACGTCACTGCATCCACCAAACATATAATTGCCCACTTGAATGATAGTAACAGTTGATCCCCATTCATCACAGTTTCCATGGAACATAAAAGCCGCCCAGCCATGTGTTTTGGCATGCCAGCACCTCTTAAACCTACTGCCGAATCAATTCTGGACAACTGGGTCCAAGAACAAAGTCAAATTCTCCGGATACCTGCTGTCAGCTGATGAATTTAGGAGGTTTCGCGGAATGGGATCCTAATAAAACTCCGGCAAGAACACGCGTTGTATACGCCTCTGCATTCAAAGGTTTTTAAATTAAACGAATACTGCATAAGTCGCTGAAGCATCGGGTCCAAAAAGTGGACCTTGGGTACCAAAGAGTTCACTTCACCGAAGGAACCTTTGTGAGGATACGAGCTGTTCCCAGCAGCCGGAGTACTTTTGTGAAGCTCGTTGATGCTGGCTGTGGTCGGAATTTTGTCAACGTACTTTTCCAGCCCTTTTTTAAATCTACTTTCGACAGTCTGGCCTTTTCAATCTTCAATTCAATATACTTAGAGAGTCTTTCAAATACCTTAACGGATGTATTTTGGTCGGATGGGACTCAGTGCCATATCTATAATCCGCCATTTCTTAATCTTCTGCATAATTATGTAATATACCTCTTTTTGTAAATTAAGTAAGGGTTATCGGCCTGAAGCGAGGGGTTATGTGATTTATTCCCCTCGTGCGTTGCCCGAGGGGAATAAATCACATAACCACGAGCTAAAGGCTGATAAATGGCTTATTTTTACATTGGCGAGGATTCCTCAAGGGATGCAAAAATACATTGACGAAAAATGTCTCTATTGTTCATTTTTCTTTTGTTTTTTAACACTCCATGATGGCACTGGTGGGATTCACAAGTTTCTCGGCTTTTTAATTATGTTAGTTTCTCAAAGTTGCATTTCGAATTAGTTGTTCGTAGAGAATGCTAGAAACAGCCTAAAGAGCCTAGCAGTGTCGACCGATTTAGATCTATCAGAAGTAGAGCCGTTTATTTCTCAAACTAAAGCAGCCTTAATGGCGGTACTGCAATTGAGCTTTCGGAAACAACACTGAGATTAACAGATTCTTCCGATTTGGTCACCTGAATCAAAAGGTTAAAGAGTCTCGGGATTGTTCTGAAACGTGCAAGGCTCGCGTTCTCTCCCAAGGTTAGGATTTTACCTTTCGCCGCACCTTTATGTTTCTGCTTGTGGCCGCGATGCACATACGAACAGCTGTTATTACAGCTGCGACAGCATATCATCAATCAGCGGTAACTTGTACAAAAGATAGTAGATACTGACTACATATCAAACCGAGAGAGAGGTCTTTAGGGGAAAAACTCAAACTGAGGTCTTGCTGTATTGACTGAGCTATAAACCAAGACTGAGGTTTGAGATTTTCCTGTAAAGACTGAGTGTTCGAGGTTAACGAGTTATTTATCATATGGCTTTTTTTGGCCAAGATAATTCACGCAGAAGTGATCACTTCACTAAAGAGTTTTCTGTCCATAAAATCTTTTTTGTGGCTGAGACTCCATCACGTATGTATAAAAAGGTGAAGCAAACGTTGTGGTTTCAGCTTGAGAGAAGTCTCCATCATCGTTTTAAGGAATTCAATGGAAAAAAGTCGTGAAAGTTGTACTTATCACAAACTGTGACATGGCGGAAAAGATCACGGTGAAACGAAGTGGTCAAATTTAGTCATCACTAAATTACACAGATCACAGATTAAAGATACGACACTTACTACACCTAGTACTACACTTACTACAGCTACTATACTTACGGACGTTGCAACGTGACACTTACGAAAGCCACTACAGCTACTACTCCTACTACAGCTACTACACTTACTACACTTTAATACTACAGCTACTACACTTACTAAACTTACTACAGATACTACACTTACTACAGCTACTAGGGCGTCGATAAAACCTGGAACACGGCATTCCGGAACATGCTAGAACATTGCGGAACATCCTAGAACATGAAAAAATGAAAATTATATTCATGAAAAAAAAAATAATAATAATATAATTTTTGTAAAAATTAACAATAACGTATAACAACAAAAATAAAAAAAAAACGAAAAATAAAGAAATAAAGAAAAAGAAACTGGTATCATCTCTGAGTATGAGAAAACAATATTTTGCCGCAAATAATTTGTTGGGCCAGTAAGGGTTCATGCAAATGACAGTAATGAGTGAAGGCTTGCTTATAAATTCAAAATATATTAAAATGGGTCTCGAAGAGGGGGGTTTTCAAGCTTTCGCCACACAGCCACCTCTGGTAATTGTTTGCCATGCGGTTTAACGGTTATCCATTTACGGCTTTGCGACCGTAAGAACAGCTTAAGGGCTCGTCGCTTTGGACTTTGGTGGATAAGATTCACATTCGCCGTGAATAGTTGCAGTGGCAGTGGTTGCGCAGCGGTAGTTTTTTAACTGTTATCAGTTTTCTGAATTTTAGCCGTCTTCCCGAGTCGCAAGTGAAGTTTGCGACTCGAGGAGATGGCTGAAATTCGATCAAGCTAGATCACAGCCCCCTACGCCAAGTTGAAGATGGCAATCGCCGCTGTCAAAGTGATTTGGGTATCCTCTGACGACAAAAATGGTGAGAGCGAAGCTGGTGCAAATTCGAATGCTTTGCTAACATGTGTGTTTGTTGCTTTGAATTTTGTGACGTTACTGGAGTTTAGTGAACAAGATTTCATTTTGGAAACAGTAGCGTAGCTATTCTCGGCGACTAGGGTTTCTTGAATTAAATCCTTATGTTGATTTGCGTCAGATAACAAAGTTGACTATCCATCCCACATAATTACAAAAAAAAAAACAATCTTGAGTTCTGCAGAATAAAATAATGACCCAATAAGGGAACTTCAACTTTTATGGGAGGGGCTGTAGTGATTCCCGTGATCATAGGGATCCACACAGACTTCCTATGCCCGTTTCAGACTCCAGACATGACACTGACACGACGGAACCAAATGCTCCGAGATGATGATATATTTAGCAAGGTGGAACACAAAAAAAACCAAACAAAGACTTTGACCCGGACACTACAGCTACTACATCCACTACACTTACTTACCGATACTACAGTTGCTACAGCTACTACACTTACTAGACTTACTACCCACTACAGCTACTACAGCTACTACGGCTACCACAGCTTCTACAGCTACCACAGCTACTACACTTACTACAGCTACTACAGCTATGACACTCACTACAGCTACTACATGGGGTCAAACTTCTGCACCTACAGCCATGAAATGGCACTGGGGTCACAGGACATTTCATGGGGTCATACATGAATCACTGACCTTGTAATTTGTGAAAAAGTTTCGCTATCCATTCATCCACGATGCAAAAAGTCTCTCAGTTGCGCTCTCCTGCCTTTCTTGTAGACTTAGCAACTGTAAAAAACAACTGCAAAGTCATGATTGAAAAGTGCAAAAGTCTTGGAGTCCAACTAAGAACGAATATGAAGACACACAGGACTCTGTGAGTATCTGTCATGATCTGTAATTTCTACAGCTTAGAACGGTGGAATAAGTAATGTTTAATACACGATCGGGAGGGTTTTATCGGGGTATAAAGCCACTCGGCGCCCCGATAAAACCCGACCCGCGAGTTTATTGAACGGCTTCAGAAACATTCCTGGAAAAGCGTGTCTTATTGGAGTTGATAACAATGACGCTTTTTGTGAACGTTGGAAATTAGCATACGAAAAACACACTACGTTTGTTATAGTACTGCTACATGAGAAATTTCTGCAATTTGATGGGCTTAGAGCAGTGGTATTTCAGATTAATTTGAAATACCTACATGTGAAAATTACAAACCTTGTGTGGGTAGTAGTATAAACAAATAATAACATGATTTGCACGTGATATTTGGCATAGATAACACTCGTGATATCACAGGCGGCTCAACCTCACGTTACGAGGGAAGGGTGTAATGTAATTTACATACTATAGGTGATGCGCTGGTGTCGCGTTACAGTCGACCATTGAAAATATAAGAGACTTTGTATGAGAAGTATATTACTGAGATCTGCGAACGTTAAATGACGCTTAACCTTACTTTATCTTAAATGAAATGAATAAAAAAAGACTTCCCTGCAATGTATTCCACCGCATTTTGGTGTTTGATTGTCGTTTACTGGTTTTTTTGGCTTTATTGCGTAACCACTGTTACTCCTTTCATAGAACGAAGTGAAGGCTGGTCACTTCGATCTGTCGGGGCCCTGGACCAGTCGCAACAAGAATGCCATTTTTTTCGCCGAAATTCAAATCCGCTGCAAATTTTTCTACTCTGGCCTAAGAGGGAAACCTCTTCTTCCTCTCTGGGAGATCGGCTTGAAAAAAGATCCTTAATTTCCCCATTAAATCGAGCCATTTGTCCCCGACTTCGAGGCATGTGTGGCTTTCGTCCAGTGCCTGTGACCACTGTTGCGCTTACCAACTAATTTGCATTATGATAATTAGCACCTACACGACAGTTGCAAGCACTCACTTTTTCACAGTGCAAGAGCCTAGTTGACATCATTTCAGTCCTGGCAACTGTCGTGTAAGTGCTAATTGTCATAATGCAAATTAGTTGGTAAGTGCAACAGGCTTTTTAGTTTGACAGTGTTTTACCAGGGTTTAAAATATAAGAACGTGACAGATTTTAGCGGACGTGATAGGTCATAAATTATTAATGAGTTTTGAAGGTGTGGATTGAGGTGTGTGGGTGGGAAAATGAGGGAATCTAACCGACGCATGAATTTAAGTCTGGGATAAAGCAGGGGGAATTTTTTGTCGTAAAAGAGACCATGCGCATACACCGTATCCCTGTACAGGCATGGGTAAAATTACTTCATTTTATTTTATATTTTTACTTCTATGTTATAATTCACAAAGGTTTCCCATCACTGTGAATGCCAAAAAAAAAAGAAACAAACAACAGAAAAAAAACAATAATAAATAAATAAATAAATGAAATAAGATGATGAATAAAATCAATAGAGGAGATTAAAATAATTAGTAACAGCAGATTTAAATGCGTCCATGGAAGGCTTATCTAATATTAAGGAAGGTAAAGTGTTCCATTCTATTAGAGTTCTAGTAAAAAAAATTCTACTCATAGGTATTGGTGTTATTACCAATGTTTATAAACTTGCTGCTGTGATAAGAGTATGTATTAAACACAGGTTGGGCATGCACTGTACTCCAGATTATTGACCCTAATTTTATCGTTCACTATTTTGTACATGGCAGTAAGTCGAGCAATTTTGCATCTCAGTTCTAGTGAATGAGCCTGTAACCATAACTACGGGTAGAGAGCCTCTTACCCTGGAGAAACGGCTAGTTTACCTGACAGAAAGGTGATGCAACATTTGCCAAATCATGATTGCCTTTTATATAAAGTATGTGGCAAATGTGTTGTCCTACTTGTACAGCGAAATGGTGTATCTGGTCCCTCATGTTTAATAAGCTTTTTTATTAAATAAGCACCAATGAAATACCAGGGGAGCTTTCGCACGAAAACTTGATATCTTCATTGTGAAAATAACATGTTATCTTCTCATGTGAAAATATCACCTTTGCTATGGCTACATAATAAATCGCCCCTCTCACACCAAAAACTATTAAAGTGAAATGGTTTGGTATTTCATTGGTGTTTATATAATAAATAGAACATTACATGGCCACCTGTAGATACGAAATTTCTATTCTCGTGTTGAAAAAAATATATTTTTTAACACTCAAAGAGAAATTTCATATCTTGGCAAGGCCATGTAATATCCTCTATAAATTATTACTGATCTGATAAGAGATCTATGCCAGTGCTTTCTATTTTTTTTCTTTAAGCCTATATTTTTTATATTATAATTATTTGATACAAATGTATTCAAAAAGTAAGGCTTGTCAGCAACCTTTGATATTTGTAATATCACCTGCTGTAATCAAAGATTGTTTTTGTTCCATTTGCTTAAGGCAAGCTGGCGAACTTATGACTGGTGGCACAAAAAGGTGCCTTTCAGTTTCAACTTTAGCAGAAGCAGAATTTTATGCTGATGGAGGCTTTGATGACATCACTTATGCCTACCCACTGTCACCTGACAAAGTACCACAGGCTGCCCAACTGTTGAGTCGACTTCAAAACTTTCATGTACTAATTGATAACCATGTGGTGCTTGACTCATTGGTAGCTAACCAACCTCCACAAGGAAAAAGATGGTCAGTTTTTCTTAAAGTTAACTGTGGCTATAACCGAGGTAATTCCTTTTAAACAATAAGTGTAGTATTTTAACAAAAATGGATTTAGCGGTTCAAAGAGCCATTATCCAGGGGTAGGTTTCTCTTAACCCCAATATCAGTGTGCAAATTCTCCACACTGTTCTCTATGTATTTCCCATGGAGCACTGATAAAGAGAAGTTGTTTAACAATGTGATCTTTTGTTAACCTGGTGATCATGTTCAATTGCTTCTCTTACCTTTTGGTCTCATTTAACTAAAATACACTGGGTAACCCTGAAAGGAACTTTAAATTCCCACCCCTCCCCCCCATCCACACTGTGACCCTTGGTCCCCCAACCTCAACTGTTGAAGACCTAATTAGCCTTTGGTTAAAATCAAATAAATTATTAATTAAAATTAATTGTAGTTAATGATTAGTAATAATAACAGGGCTTCTGATATTTCGCGGAAAAAAAAGCAAAATTTCGCGGGATTTTCAGGGGCAAATTCGCGGAAAAATCGGCCGATTTCGCGGGATTTTCGCGGGAAAAAGGTAAAAATTCGCGGAAAAATCCGCCAATTTCGCAGGATTTCGGGGGAGAAAAGTCAAATTCGCAGAAAATCGGCCGATTTCGAGGGATTTTAGCGGAAAAAAGTCAAATTTCGAAGAATTTTCAGGAGCAAATTCTTAGAAAAATCGGCCGATTTCACGGGAAATTTCGGGGGGAAACTTCGCCAAGAAACAATCAGTCAAAAACGGCCGATTTCGCTGGTTTTTTTGGTAAATTTCGCTAAAATCGATCAATTTTGCGTCGATATAACCAGCGTTGTTTAACGTTTTTTTTAACAGCGATAATCATTTGCTCTTTCAACAACAGTTCGCTCGAGAAATGAGCGAATGCTAAAGCTGTTAACATTATGATTAGTGCCCAGTTTTTCGCAACATTAATCTAAGAACGCCTGGTAGTTTTGGGACATGGTTTACTCGTTGCAGTGACGAAGTTTCAAGATGAATTTGGACGTTTGGGGTGAATAAAACAGGTCTAATAGCCAAGATAAGTATTAAATATGTTTTGCCGACATGTATTTGGAAATATTTCTGGGGAATTTCGCGGTATTTCGCGTTTTTTTGGGAATTTCGCGGGATTTCGCGGAAATACCTGAATTTCGCGGGTCCGCGACCGCGCGAAATATCAGAAGCCCTGTAATAATGATGACAATGACAATTATATGCCATAATCTTGATAAGGATTATGTACTTTTGTGGAGAATCATTTATAATGCCTCAATTCAATCACCCAAATGGCAACACTTCATTGGTTAGACACAATCAGTTCAGTGTGTGACAAACGCAGACTGCAGACTTGCAGTCTGGCAGGTAAACGAGGTAAACATTGTTGTGAACCGCTTTAACACATTCTCTATCCCTAAACTTTAAGTCTACTAAAAAGTCTAGTTTAGGGATAGGTAATCTGTTAGAGCATTTGACAACAATGTTTTCCTCGTTTACCTGCCAGTCTGCAAGTCTGCACTCTATGTTTGTCGCACACCGCAATCAGTCCTATGTTGTAGAGGAAATGACAAGATAATCCTGAGTCTAATATTATCCACCATTATTATGTTAGGAAATTGAATGCAAATGGTAGTGTTTGTTACTTCAAGTAATATATCAAGCATGAGACAGTGTTTCATCATTGGATGAAAGACTGAGAAGAGAGTTGAAAATGCAATGTGCAGCAGAGTATTTTTGACGAACTTTGAGGTGTTTTCATCTTGTGATGAAACACTGTGTCGAATGCGTGATATTACTTCCCGTACAAGATGATTTTAAAAGGAGAAATTACAGATGCAAAAGAGAGCAGTTTTTAATCTCATTTCCAAACACTCATTAACCATTAATTTGCTTTGTATTTTCTTTATGAATTATTAAGGAGTTTTAACATTATTGATCACAAAATTCTGTAATCTTGAAATGTCTTAACTTTTTGTAATATGTGAATTCCTGTGTGGTGCAGACTTCATTTGCATCAAGGCGTGTGGAAAAATACACAAAGTTTTATGTTTTTAACGAATTTTGTTAGTATGGCCAATCTCGGGCGACAGGTTGAAGTTTGAAGTGGTAAATATTTCCACATCTGTTTCAGCGGGTGTGTCATATGATGATCCTAAAGGTTTGGAGCTGGCCAAGGAGATAGCTTCAAAGGAGTGTTTGACATTCAAAGGACTTTATATTCATGAAGGAAATGCATATAATTGTGCTGGTGAAGGAAAAATTAAAGAGACAACATCAGAAGCATTGACAAAACTGCAAATCATTTTAAACAGGTAAGCTTGTTTACTTAGATAATACTTCTCCAGCACATGTGGTTATTTTTTATCAGCCCAGTTATATGTAGTTCTACCTCCATTGCTACACTTAAGATTTTTATTACAATTAAACAGACTACAATATATTATTGTTAATGTTAAAGAAACATGAATGAATTGCATCTTCCATGAGAACATGCATACAACAATAGTACTAACAATAATAGGATATGATCATAATAATAAATAATAGTGCCTACTTTTCAGTGCTAAGCGCTTATTGAAAGCCAAAGAGATTTTATCTCTGTCCATTTTATGGAGGTAGTGTCCAGATGATCATCTTTGTCTGTTAAGTGGGATGATCGATTTGACTCCTCTTTGGGTTAATTGAACAAGTTATAGCTGCGTACCTGTAGGTGGTACAATCATCTCCCTCTTAGACAAACTCTGGTAGTAGTAATCAAATATTGTCCTTTGTAGGGAGATCACCATCCAACTTATTGAAAGTCAAAGAGATTTTCTCTGTGTCCATTTTATGGAGGTTTTCATGCTTTAGATATGTCGGTTAAGATAGAGAGTTAATTACATTTGGAGGGGGTCTTAGGTGTGAGTTTTGTAGATTTAGAGGTGGTCCTAGGTCCTGGGTCTTGACTTAGGTCTTACCTTTGGGGACACCTGGAGACTGGGTACCACGAGCAATATTTGCAATATTTTTGTGTCCAGTGTAGAATAGTGAAAGAGCCAGACAAAAAATTTTTCTTAATGTATTGATATTTGATTGGGGGTGGCTACATTGTCCGAGTCTGTATTACGAACGTTTTGACGCGTAGAATATAGCTTTAATAGGAACCTCAATGTCCTGCAAGCAACGCAGAAAAGCTGGTCCAGCATGTCAAAACTATAGCAGGGAATCTCATACCCTGTCATACTGTTAAAATAACAATTCAGATCCAACACTTTGTACAAAACTAAGGAACCAAACCCTAAACTTTTAGTTTGTTGGGCCGCTTTTAAAAATGAGAAAGGAAAATCCTCCGCCTACAGCTAGCGATCAGAGGTCGATTTCTGATAGAACAAAGATAAGAAACTACAGGAAATCACTGTACAGCACAAGGCCACATGACCTCTCAGTTAAAGAAACGTTTGCTAAATCTACGCTACGAATCCTCCAAAACAGACTTTACCAGTTAAGGACAAAATGAAGGGGCTAGTGACGTATTAGCATGGGGTAAAAGCCTTGTAGGTATACCAAAACCCCTTCTTTATAGTTTACAAAGGCTAAAACACGTTTGGTGGAAAGGGTGAGTCAGGCTNGGGGGGGGGGGGGGGTCCACGGGCGCGCACCCGTCGCGCCCCCCTTCCTACGGGCCTGATTGCGGAAGTGAAAAGGTATAGTCAATTTACTCTTAATTGCAGGTTGCAAGAAGCTGGCATCGAATGTCCTGTTGTGGGGATTGGATCAACTCCAAGCTGCTCTAAGCCACCAGATGATTTGTTAAAAGGAATCACGGAATTTCATCCAGGAAATTATGTCTTTTATGGTTAGTAGGCATGAATACAGAGTAGTCAACTGAATAGAACTGTTTGCAGCTTGGTACGTTGTCTGGACTGGAGTGGTAGTAAATAAATGTAAGTGTGGTAACTTTAATATTCAACACCACAGAAGATTCCAACGTTGGTGACACATGGAAAGCATACGGATCAATCAATGTGAATGTAGGTTGAAAACTGTACAAAATACCGAAAAGGTGCATATGATAAACAAATGATTGTAGGGATCTCTGGTATGTAGGATGCTCAAAGTCTATGCTAAGTGTCCAGTCTGACCACAGAAATCAAAGTATTGGTATATTGCAATAAAGATCGATGCTTTGGCATACAGACCAGTCTAGGATTACAAATTAAAGCAAACACTTAGCGAAATTTCCAGTCATTAAAGACGCAAAAAATCAAATTACTATAGTTACAAGCTCATAGGCATGAATTAAGTCACCAGCAATTTGATGTCTACATGCATCCACCTTAACAAGTTAGCTTTTGTTTGCTCCAGTAAGCTGTTATTGTTTTTGTTGTAACATGCCTGCTTGCAGCACCAGCCTCATATGTTCTGAAAGTGCAGAAAAAGCCCCGGTAATACGTGCATTCTTCTTTCTTAGATTATCAGCAATTCCTAATCGGTTCATGTGATATTAGTGACATTGCTGTGCGAGTCTTGACGAGAGTCATAGGAAATTATCCTGACAGAGGGCAAATCTTAATAGACTGTGGCTGGACAGGATTATCTCTTGACAGCTTTGGAAAACTGAAAACAGGATATTGTTTCTTTGAAGGACACTCTAACCTCAAGTAAGACTATTGATACTGTTATTTTGGGAAGAACATATCTTAATGTATATCTTTACATTACTCCTCGAGCCCGAATGGGCTCTGAGTCAGTAGCCCTTTAGTGCGAGAGGAATAATTGTTTTAGTAAAATCCAACTAGTTGATCAAAAATATCGAGACAGAAGAACTTAAGCTACCAAAACGCGATTCAGCCGCCATTGTTTTGGTTTTCAAAGCCGGCGCTTTTCGCTACTACTGGGCTATAACATATAGCCTAGTAGTAGCTCAACCAATCAGAATGCAGCATTGACAATGGCCCACTAGTTGGATTTTACTAAGTATACCCGAAACGTATCGTAATAAAGCTATCTTTGGCTCAGTTGCAGTAACCCATGAGTGGCAATCTTGGAAATTATGAATGGGGTTGTGGGAGCACAAACCCTGACTATATTTTAGGCCTAACCTCGGGTTAACAAAGCTTGATAGTACTTATATCTACTGGGTAAATCACTATCCATTATGAATATTTTTTGAAGAAAACCATCATCATACCGTACTTAAAAACCTGGAGCCTTGTAGGCCTCCTAGCTAAGTAGTTAGAGCGTCAAGTTTTAAAAAAACGTAGATTGCAAAATTAGCTAAAAGGAAAAAGAATCATAGTAAAACTGTTTACACGTCTACAGGATTTTTAAATCTTTTATTAGGTAAATTTAAAAGATAATTGTAAAAACATTTACCTCATAAAAGAAACTAAAAAAATAAAGGCTGGGAAATGAAAAGTCTATGACATGAGCTATTTCTTGCTCTGTAGATAACTGTTACGTGCGTGAAAGGTCATCTGTTTGATATGTATCACAAAATTTTTAATGGTAGAAGAAGCTCTTAACTTATTAAGAACTTCCAGATTTTTGGTCCATAGTACCTGCAATTGTACCTAGTAATGTTTGTTCTTTACACCGTAACGTGTGTTGCTTCTTAGCTTCAGGAGAGCGCTAGGTGGAGTTGTTGTCGTTATCTAAATAGCTTTATATTCAGTATTATATAAATATACACACATCTAAGACCCTTCTGTTATTCACAGTAGGCATGTTTGCTGTTTTTAGAAGAGCATAAGCCATTAAAGTCCTAATGTTATCATTAAAAATAGATCTCCTAGAACGCACGTTTAGTTGTCGAGTTTGGCAGCTTCTGTTTTGCCGTAGTGCATTATCCACTGGATGGGGTTTGGCCCATTCTTCTAAGATCCAGTTACTGATTGTTAACCTTAGCCATTTTAAAAAACGTTTTCTGAGGCAGGAAGGTCCACTAAATAATATAGGTTACTTTTGGCTTACTTCAAATACGTTTTCACGGCTTGAGATCGACAACCACCCCGTTTTGAGACCAAAACGGCTTGAAAGATGTATCACAGCACAGGATGAATATAGTTCCTTTGATCTGTGTTGTTAGGTTAGCTTATGTATGGTAAAGGAGACCAGAATTAAAAATAAAAGAAAGACAGAGTAGAACTTAAAGGGAATGTGGTGGTAATGCCACAAATGAGCAGTTACGTCCATTTGAACTTGAGCCTGCCGTGAACAAATCCGGCTAACCGTTTGCAATCTAACCGTTCGGTCACGCTGCCTTCTCAAACAGGCAGATTGGTTTCAAGTAGTATATCAAGCATAAGACATAGTGTTTCATCACCAGATGAAAGACTGAGAAGAGAGTTGAAAATGCAATGCGCAGCAGAGCTGTATTTTTGACGAACTTCGAGGTGTTTCTTCTGTTGATGAAACACTTTGCGAATACTTGATATTACTTCTCAAACAAAATGATTTTAGAAGGAGAAATTAACCACACACTCATTAAACACTAATTTCCTTTGTATTTTCTGTATGAATTATTAATGAGTTTGAGAAAGTAATTTCACTCTAACTTTTAGGCTTGTAAAAATGACTCAAGAAATTGGCATTGTAGAAGCAGCTGAAGGATCTCTGGATGTTTCTCTCTTCCCAATTGGTAAATTACTGAAGATGATACCTTATCATGTAAGTATGGCCGCCGGCTTAAATTTGTATTGTCTCCCATGTACTCAGATCATTTTCCTACCAACAGAGTCTTCTTTTCCGTGCAACAGATTCAATAAAACATAAAAACTTAAGACAGAATCCTTCAGGAAATTGAGTATTATTAATTTTCAAAGGACAAAATACTTTGTACCAGAATAATTTAAACAATATCGCATTCTTTTTTTACATTTTTCAAGGGCTATAGAATGTACTTAGTTATCTGTGATACCACCAGAGAAAATTTCTTATGGGAGCCCGAGAAAACGAAAGTCAAAATTTCACAAAATCACATCTTACACGTGAAATTTTCAAAATTTTACCTGTGTTTTCACAATCCTTGTGAAATTTGACATTTGTTTTCTCGGTCTCCCATGAGAAATAGTCTTTGGTGTTATTACAGATAGTAAATTATATCTATAGCCCTTGAAAAATGTGAAAGAGAATGCGGTATTGTTTAAACTTTTCTGGTACAAGATTTTTGTTCACTGAAAGTTCAAATTACTCAAGTTCCTGATGGATTCCGTCTGAATCCTTTATTCTTTTTTGTTGGGCTGTTTTTTAAGAATGCCTTAGGGTTCTCTGGGTAGAACTCCAGTACTCTTCTGGCTTTTTTAAAGCGCAATTCCTGTTTATTTTATATCTCTATTGCAATAACAGTGACCTATTTATGGCTAATCATAACTTTACAAAATTCTACAGACTGATTGGCTATCAGCAGCCCTGATTTCAGCATAATTGCGCACTGTAATAGGACAATACGTGTCATGGCTAAGTAATTGGACAGTACTGGCCACTGCGCGCACGCATTTGAATGGTTTTATTTTTGGTTCACTTCTTCCAAAAAACTTGGGGAAGATCTTTTATTTTTTAAAAACGTAAAAATTTGTTATATTTATGATTAATTGACAACAGAACTTCGTGTCCCCTAATTCGGCCTCGGTAATCATACCTGGATTAATAAGTCCGATTGGACTACACATAGTCTGTTATCATTCTAAAAGTTTATCGAATCAGATTGTAGAAAGTAGCCTGCGTCGCAGAGGTAATTTAACCTCGGTTGGTAACGTCTGCGAAGCAGAGCTCATATCCTTGTTCAGAGCCACCAACGAATTGCCGGAAGTACGTTTTGAATTTCCTTTTATCCTGATTGGCAAATTGACAATGGTTTTGTTTTTAATGATAAAAAATGTTCACTCTACCACATCTATATACACAAAATACACTACTTACCAGGATTTGAGCATGCGCCAAAAAAAGTTTGTGGTCTGACTTTATTACTTGGTGTGATGTGATTGGATTTTGGCGAAGGAAAGAAGATTACTTGTTTATTAATCACATCTAAGTCTTACCAAAGCAACATATTTATGAATGTCGTAATAAATGCACTTATCCTTCCTTTGCACTTTTTTTAAAATAAAGTCAGTTATGTTCACCAGTATGAGAAACGTATGAAATCGAATAACAAAGTTAACGACCAGCAAAGTAAATGGGAATAGTTTCATTTATTTTGTCGCGGTAGTGAGAATTAAAATTCAAACAATCTTATGTCCTATTTTTGTAATAGTCGCAACAGTACCTAAATATTCTTTGTAGTGTTATTATTATGATGTACACAGGTGGGGGCCCAGAACAAGGATTTCGGTAGCCTGCGTAGCAAGAAACGCTTGCTACGCAGGCTAGGATTTCCGCGCTGTTTCGCAGATGGACTTAACCAGACCACAGGGAGCCCGAACGTTGTTTTAGCTAATAGAAAAAATTCGATGTATTTACGCTGTATTAACTGATAAAATAATAAGATACATTTACCTTTGTTTCTGTCACTGTCTTTATAAGTCGTTTGGGAAGGGATTTGAATCCGATCAGAGACGGTTATTAACTAGTATTATTACACATCAGACTCACTATGAAAAATCTGATTGGTCAAGAGCATTCAATCAATTCACAATAGCTTGTGAACTTGACATGATAAATGCAATATCTGCTGCAGATATTGCATTTATCATGTCAATTTCAACGTCTGCCTGGTTACCAAGCCCCTTGGAGTGTTCTCCTCAAAAACAGAATGGCTGAACGCTTCGCCTCTGTTTCTGAGGATGAATTATGTCGATTAATAAGGATTTTTCTATTTTAATGTATACTTTATTCAGACAAAGGTTTTATTATTGTATTTTAAAATTTTTAAATGATCTTAGTTAAGCTTATCAGTGTCACTTTCACCTTAGTTTTGAAATAAAGCCATTTTTCAACAGATGAATGTCTTCTTTTGCCCATTGTTTAAAAAATGTATAATAAAACAATTATTGAATTCGGTTTTCGCGTGATATCATGAATTATCAAAACCTCGTGTCTGCATTATCTGCCTCAGCCTTCGGCTTCGGCAGATAACACAGACCTCGGTTTTGATAATTCATGATATCATGCTCAACCTCATCCAATAATTGTTTAATAGTTGACACTACAGCTGCCCCCGTTTTGTACATTGTCCGTCAATAGTATTCTTGCTGGTTGTGTAGCTCTTTGAAATATACCGATTCATAATGAAGATTTTCACACATATTCCATACAATAGGTGAGATAAATACAGGAAACGCAAGGTCCATACACAGTTTCGGCTCGATTTACACAGCTTTGATCAAAACATTCTCAGTTTCGAGAATAGTTTATTCTAAACCATAAGAAAAGATTTAATTAGAAGTTGAATTTTTCGCTATTTCTCTTTCCCTTTTTACATTCAGTTCATTTTATTTGCCGGAAAGTAAGCCTTAGAAATTAAAAGGACGATTGCTCGATTCACGCTAGCGCATTCTAGTCTTATTTGAAACTTTATAACGGAAGGACATCTGTGAGCAGGGAATAAGTCAGCAGAGAATTTGATTGTCGGCGAAATTCTGTAAATGTCCATCAATCTGCTAGTGAAAAGCTAGCCGTTGTTCATTCGTCTTGCTTGTTTGGGGCCGAGTCTTGTTCCGGTCAAAGAGAGAGAAAGAGTGTCTGGCAAGGTTTCCAATATAAATCAAAGATTTGTGAACTCGTGTCTGGCAAACTCTCCAAGTGTTCATATATCTACACAGTTAAACGCACCTTATAACCTCCCATGCGCTTAAAGAGTGTCTTTTGGTCCATAACTTTCAAAACAACTGCTCCACAGAATGTCACTGCGTAACGCAAAAGAGTATCGAAGTATGACTGCACAATAAATGTCACAAAATCTACCTGAGCGGTCCCTTCGGGATTTTCTGTCTCTACGTCATCCTAACCATTTCGTACTTGCGGGCGCAAACAATAGAAACGTCATCATTACCTAACGATTCCTCGCGGCCCCAGTTCGAGCAAATCGACATTTTTTCTAGTATACTGACTGTATATTTAAAATGTAAGTACTGTCCTTAATATACGCGCGAGTTACTAGGGTGCCTCCTCGGGATTTCGCCTCTGGGCGAAATCCCTGCGGGGGCAATTAACATTGCTGGTTACCAAATGCGTTTGCTTGGCTGGCGCGTCGTATTTAAAACGCTTAAGTTTCGTCTCACCACAGGTACCCCAAGCTCGAAATATGAGCATCGGCGAACATCGGCATTGTTGCGTAACATTAAAAATATAAGGATTTGTATGGGGGAAAAAACCTATCGTTTCTGTAACCTACGAAAATGAAACGATTTCAATAAAAAACAGCTTATGCTACTTAAAATGTTTGTTACGTCTCTCCTGTGTGGTCCACGGGCCGATTTATGGCCGTTTTATGGGTTTTTATGTAAACGCGTTTTCTCTCTATATAAAGGTTACCTTTATATAGAGAGAAAACCGTTTTTCTCATCTCTTCTCGTGGCCGTTAGAGGAAAGTTAATAGTTAGTTGCCCGACATATCCTACCTTTGGTCGGACGTGATTTGCATAGTAATCAAAGAATTAGTTAACATATGTGTGCTACAACCTGTCTGGTTTTTCGGACGCAAATGGTAATCTGGTCAGACATAAGTCATTTTAAAAAAGAATAATTATTTGCAAGCCTGCACTGTAATGTACAGGTTAAACTGGTGAAAGAATCAAGCTATGGAAGTGACCTTGTACATTTTGCTTTATATTTTCAGGCATGCAACACTGCATATATGCATCCTGTATATTATGTTGTGGATGGAGACTCAATAGTCGATAAATGGATTCCTAACAGAGGCTGGTGACGTCACATTCATCAGCAAGCAGAAATAAGAAACCGTATTTTATAAAACAAATTTTTTATATGTAAAGTTATATAATCTAGCTGGTATAACCACATCTTATGATATATAGATTTAGCCAAAGCTAAAACCGAAGCTCTCGTTAATGTACTTATAGTTTACTCAACCAAAAATTAAATCGTGTCAATGCTAAACGGCGAAGGTAACGAGAACAGTAAAAAAAACAACAACAGGTCCAATTAGCAAAATTGCCGTTGTTTTGTACGTCTGCAACGTGAAATTTCCTAGTTACACGTGTTATGGGGAAAATGTCCTGTGTTCCTGTTCGCTCTTTTTTTTTTTTCACTGCCGCTCATTTTCACCCTGGTAGCCGCTGGCATTTCTCACTGCCACTATATGAAAACTTTCATGTTTTTCTTCAAAGAAATTCGTCTCCTTTTTTTCACCTCTCGTTCTAGCTCTTTTTCTGTTATCCACGTCAGTGAAGACATTAAAATATAAAGTCGAAAAACAGACTCGGCTATGTGTTTTTTTACGTGGCCACGCGATTTACCGCCAATACGAGCGGGTGCTTGAAATGCGAAATTTTACCCTGGCTTGCATGAAGTGGCCTGTGTACAGACGACCCCCTCCCCTAAAACTTCCTTTTTAAAAGTGAACACCTTTGTACTCAATTTAAAAGTAGTCCAAAGATAGGGTTAAGTTCTATCAATAACAAGTGTAAAGGAAATGTCGCAACTTTGCGCTCTGGCTCAATCCTAGCGAACATATGATGCATACGTAGATCCACCCCTTCAGGCTAGCCTGTGTACAGACGCTCCCCTCCCCACAGAAAAAATCGGGGAGAGCTTGACAGAGCTGTAAAATCTCTTGAGTCATCCAATCGGTTAACTCTTAATTTTCGGGCGATCCAGTATCCATCTACAAAATTAATTTGTAATTGTCTATTCGTATATTTAATTGTCTGGCTTTTCTTATACTACCTAAAATGTATTTTATATGTACCTGTGCTTGGGTTTAAAGAATAAAAAAATAAACTTGACTTTAATATCCTATAACGCTTCAGCCGGAGGAAACCCACAATCAGCGCCACCAATAAAACCAGGATCGTTATTGATGCTGTTTATAATCGACAATCAACAACCATGTAACGAAACAGTAGACTATGAAGCTTTACGCCTTCTTCTAATATCAGTCCTGTAACCAGGTAACCGCGGCACAGCTTTACTTTTGCTTCCTGATCACTCTTAAGGCAATGTAGGCAAATGTCATTAATGCGACTGTCATGGCACCTAGAATGAGTTCGTTATACCACAGACTATCCACTGAAATGCCTTGTGACTTTAAGTAATCATCTCCAGATGGACTTCAGTCAACAGCAAAAGAAAGAAATATATAGATTTGTTAAAAATAATATATATAGTTTTAGCGGTAATAAACTTTTAACTATTGAAGAATTCACCTGGAATTTTCTTAACTTGAACTTATACACTTCCATCACATTCATCAAAAGTAGATTTTGAATACGTTATAAGCAAAGATATAACAGAAAACTGACATTTGTCATGAAATCGGACTTTTTAGGCTGTGTTCACTTGTTCACACTATACCGGATAAATATAGTATGAACAGTAACAGTCCGGGGCGGCATAAGTCATCAAACATCGTGCCGGCGCGGTTGGTGCACTAAATTACAGTCCTCACTCCTGAATATTTACTTCCGTATCGGTGGGCTCCAGGCCTGACTCATGTTCACACTGCACCGAAGAATGGAAAAAAAACCTATCCGATATGTTACAATCCAATTTCGCTCGCTTCGCTCCGTCACAAAAATCGCGCCACCACAACCGTTCTTGTGTGTGAACAGAAGCCCTTTCCGGTATGATTTTCGTGACGGCGCAAAAACTATCTGATGTAGAAGTAGTGTGAACAAAGCCTTATAGAAATATCTCAAGCAAGCAAGCAAGCCGTTTTTAGTGTCGCCACGCAACGGGAGGAGCGTTGCGTGACGACACTAAAAACGGCTGTGTAACTAGCAAAATTTATGACCATTTCTGCAAAACCACGGAAACTGTGAAGCTGCTTGCCAGTAATGTTGTACGTTACATTAAGTATACGTACCACTCAGGGCTGGTGCTAGAGGTACAATTGAAAATCATGCCATGGAGCTCGTTAATCTCAAGTGACTATAACAACAAAATAAATGCAAACATCAGTTTATCCAAATGAACGTCACGACATTGTTAAAGCATCTGAAGGATTGTATTTTACTGTAATGTACTAGCGAAATACCGTACAGAACTTAGAATAAACGGTGGAAGGGCTGGGTGGACAAAGCTTAGCTAACTAACTAAGAATAACTAACTGAATCAAAAACTGTAAGTGTTTGAATTCACGTTAGGGTAAGGGACAGACCATAAGGAAACTAATGGCGGGCGAAGTACAAAAAAAATATATTCGTTCAAAGGAAAATTAACTGAAAAAAATATTCATACACGCCAAGTAACCCCCCAAAATATCATGCACTGGCCTAAAGAAAAATGCATACAAGGGAAATGTTAACAAAAATTCATGCGGCTCGAAAATTCCCCACCCCTTCCTATAACTTTTCTAATGGTCTGTACCTAAGCAAAAACAGACTTTTTTTCTCAATAGGGCAGCCATGTTAAAATTAAATGAATTTTACAGACTATTATGGGATTAGCAGGGGCACGGTTATTAAGTCGGTTCGACATAGAATTCCAAGTGTTTTAAGAATGACTGTCGGTCTCTAGAAATATCACTTCTAAATTTAACACACTCTCTCATTTATTACCTCTATAGCGTAGCGAAATATACTGATATATTTTATCCATGACAGCCAGTCAAGCAGAGAATTTAGATTCACAAGTACGCCACCAAATACCTGCAATGAAAGAGAGAAACCATGGCGTCTACTACTCGCGTATTTCGATGCACTCAAACCAGTGTAGAATCTTCGCAGAGAAAAAATTAAAAATTAACGTTAAAAAACGGACGACGTTTTGACCGTTCGACGGTCATTTTCAAGTTCAGAAGTAAAAAAAAATTGGCATGCGCTTATAGAGAGTTTTCACATGACGTCACGGCCGCCACATTGGTGTTCCAAGAAAATTCTCTGGGAGTTGAACTCTTTTCTCATGTGAATGCTCTCTTTTGTTCCAAGAAATTAGCATAGATGCTGGCCACGTGAGTGAAAACGCCCTACATACAATTGTAAAAAGGCTAATAAGATACTTTTTAGTCAGCATCTCATTAGCCTTTTCACAATTGTATATAAGCGAATGCTAATGTTTTTTACTTCTGAACTTGAAAATGACCGTCAAACGGTCGAAAAGTCGCTCTTTTTTAATAGTGAAATCCGTTTCTAAAAATTTGTTGATTCGAAACAATTAAAATAGAATATATATTTGTAGTTACCCCTCCCACAGTCCAAAATCTGGGATCAAAGGAAAACTACTTAAAAAACAAAATTCAACGGCTGTTTTTAATAGCAAGTACAATTATAGGAACTGCACAGCAACGTGCACATCGCAGCAACACACGTCAACTTGAAGTGAACTTTTTGCGTTATTGGGCAGTGGTTTTTCCCTGAAATTACGAACCAATTGTCTTTATAAAGGCATAAAGTAAAGAGTAGAGACATTTAGCAATACAAATTTGGAAGTGTCAGGAAAAAGGCGTCGCTTTTTTTTGACGTGCGTTGATCAAAAAGCCTCCCTAATAACCCGATGGCTGACCTTCACTAAGCACAAAGAACGGCGGGAGGATAAAACTTGTTTCCAGCCATTCGCCTCATCTCTCTCGAGTCTCGAGGTAGGCGCCTGTAAAAGGAGGCTGACTTGATGGAACTTTGGTAATTCAAGTGATCGCTTAAAAGAGGGTAACTGCCTGGTTCGCTTATAAGCTTTTAATGTTTATCATACACGAGCAAAGAAGTATGGGCGCTATAATTGGTCAAAACTTGATCATCATCGTAAAGGACTGCTTGTTAAAAATGAATAATTGGCTTCTCTCTCTCTTTCTCTCTCTCTCCCTCTCTCTCTTTTTTTTTTTTAAAGAAAGTTCAGTAAATTTGCTTACCATCATAAACACATAAGGAAGAGCGATAAGGAGATTAGCTATGGCGAACGTCCGTACGCATGCGCTGACAAAGAAAGCCACACTACAAGCAGCGAGTGACGTCAGAAGAAGCGTCAAAGTGAATATGAGGAACTTAATAACGTCAACACGAAGACCTGCAAGAAGGAAATATTAACAGCATTAAGAAGCACTATACCAACTCTGACAATAATTCTGATAAGTAAATGAATCAACGAGATATTTTGCATTAATGTATAGTGTCGCATTAATGCAAGGTATATGCCCCGCAGAAAACATCTTGTGAATCGCTTTACACATGAAAAATGACACACAAGTATAAGGCTATTTTTCCTTTAAAAGTTAGCTTATTTTGATCAATTTTGTGTTTTTTTTTTCACTATTTGGAAATTAACCACCAGCGCATTAATATATGTTAATATGAACGTCTAAATCGAATTTATGTACTGTGTATGCAAGGTTTGGTCGTTACAAAGGTGTTTACGCTCTTTGGTGACCTGACGGTCAAATGGGCGACAAAATAACACGTTCCACGTTTTACCGACACTATCTACTTCAAAAAGCAGAAGGTAAGCCTTCCCTCCCCTCCCCCACCACTTCTAAACAGTCAGTGTTGTACCGCTGCCCAAGGTATCTGCGACAAACACTGAGAAAACTTTAATTGTGTGGCCAGAGGGTTCTGGATTGTTTTATTTTCCCAAATATACCTCATTTCATTTCAAGTTTCAACCATTTTGTGGCCGATTGGTCGGTTCACAAGGCTCAATTCACTGCTTTAGAAACGAGAAGGAAGCTGGACCGAGTAAACTTCCGAAAAGACTTCTGGGACAGGAAAAAATGGCCAATAGCTGACCGGCGCGTCCCCAGTTATGATCCCAAAAACAATTGCGGGACACATTTCGGTTCCAGTTTCCTTCTCCTTACTCAAGTGGCGAATAATTAAGCAATAGACCACCCTTTTCAATGGGTTTTACCGGCGTGATAACCCACGCGGGATGCTGGGAGGACACGAGAACCCCAAGTGGGTTATCACGCCGGTAAACCCATAGAAAGTGTGGTCTATAATTGCTTTTATAAAATAACTTTAAGTTTTCCATGAGTTTACCGGCACAATAAACCATAGGTTTTTAACCAATCAGAACGCGCGTACTATCTTAGATATTTTATAACATTGTCTTTCACGTACCTGTCATAAAATAAACAATGGCTGAGAAGGCAGTGATTGGCACAAGGCGTAATGGAATAATATCGCACACAACTTTGGCCAGAAAATAAGCTGATATTCTGTAATAACCACTGGCTGATTCGTGACTATAAAAAGGTCACAGACAGGTCAAAATGATTCCACAGAATACACCTGCTTGAATGGCTGAGAGCAGTGAGGTTTTTAGTAAATAAGGTGCAAAAACGAGGAAATTTAATGAGAATACCTCAGAGAATGGAGAACTGTGATGGCCGTTATACACAGGTTCCTCTAATTTTAACCGGCAATAGAGTATTCATACGATTTTTCTTTTTCTTTTCTCTCATATAGAGTACTCATACGATTTTCTCGCTCAATCTGGAACTTATTTATATGCACTCGCGTGAATTTCAATTATCAAGTTTTGCAATTTTGATTCTTTTTGAAAAACACACTCGTGCAAATAAATTCCTATTGTACTCAAGGTCGAATGATTACCTATACAAATTTAACGTAAGTAGTTACTCTAGTATATTGCAAGAGATTTTCTTGGGATTTTACAGCCTCAACACAAAGATATTACCTAAACAAAAAACGAGTTGAAAAAAGGATGTGTTAAGTTCTCATAAGGCCGTCCAGGGGACTTAAGAGACAACTAAATTCTCCCAACTTGTACAATCAAAAACCCATATCCACTGGTGGGAATTTCAGTTACTGATAAACTTACATGAAAAGTGGTCTTTCTTTGATGAATAGCTCCACTGCTGATAAGTTTCCAAATATCATGTTCATCACCAAAAAGAAAAACAAACCAACTCTACAAAAAGAAAACACAACTGATATACATTAACAGCTTTAACAAAACCAGAAAATCACAAACAACCACAAACTCTTGTGTCGGGTTTTCAAAACATTTCCCTAGCGCCAATCAGTTGGTCATGTCTGACGTTAGTTTAGACTCAACGCACATGACACGTCGTCACTGGCCTGACAAAGGAGGGTTCCAAATGATCGCTATAATAGATGAGATCACTGCGATTATTACGAAACAATTTTGCACTTGGTGGCGCACATAGCTACTCTCTTTCCCCATTACATCATTGAACTCAGTCAGCGTCTGTAGTGACTGATCAAAGAAACATGCTCCACTTGGGTCTTGTGCTTGTAACGGCAATAACTGACAGCCGATGGATTGAAAAGTCGTGGAAGGAGAAAAAACCAAAGGAAAAAATTAGGAGAAAAGAAAGAACCGACCTGTTTTGAATGCCCTTGTCATCTCTCTTCACTTGATAATAAATGGCGCCGACAATTACGCCAAATAAAACCAAGACAAGAAACTGCGAATAAGAATACGAACACATGAATAAAGAATAACGGTACTATAGCGTCTGTGGAATTAAGTCAATTTAGAATATTAACCCTAACCCTAACACGAAGGAAAAAAGCTGCTAAATAGCCAACTGGACTACCAGTTGCCAGCCAATAAGGTTTGTATTTACTGATGACGCTAATTCCCTGAGCCAGTTTGTACTCTCATAAGTAACTGAGGGGTAAGGGATAAAAAAACATTTTGTTTACGATCCCCCTCCCCCCCCAACACACACACACACACACACACTTAAACGAAATAGTCAAACATGACTGTCTAGTTGAATTTTCCAACTACTATCACAGAAAGTGCGCTCTAATACAAGAATATTTTGCTCTGTCCATTTTTCCCACAAAGTTAACAACCTTCCTCATTAGGAAGCTCTAGCCTCACTCCTTCGCCGGCTAAGAAGAACGGTAAGCTCTGGAAACGAAAATGTCTTGTCCTTTATAAACAATACTCAGGCCGCGAGCCAACTCAGTGTCCATTTGCGCTCAGTAATGTTCAAAAAAGAGGCAAGATTACATTGGGTTTTGGTCTTCCATGGAACAAAAACGGGTTCCAGAATACAGATCAACGAGACTTCCGTCCATAAGTCAAGATCACTAAATTGGGGGGGATTTGATGGATTTCAATATCAAAGGGTTCCGTTAGTTTTAAATCAGTTGAGAGGCGGGCGTAATAGAGAATGTTTATCTTTTTAACCTCTGCATCCGACATCAGAAACTCAAG